GGCAATCGAGCTGAAGGAAACAGGCATGATTCGGCATGGGCAGAAAGCGTCCCCTCGAGTCTTACAAGGCAAAAGAGCAGCAAGATGATGCTTGGGATCGCGAACGGCCCCCTGTTCCGGCGAGAAGCTGCAAAGGAACATGGAGGAACTGCAGGGCCCAAGGCCTTTGCTCGAGCCTTTCTGGGAGTCCCCCTGAAAATGTGATCAAAATCATCGTCGACCTTTTACTCAGGCAAGATCCAGTCGCAGGGCAGGCAAGAAGAGAAACAATTCTGAGCAGCAGGAAAGGCCAAACCCCAGGCACATTCCTGTGAGCGGAAACAGTGGAGCAAGCTGGCGGGACAACTCCTCCGCGAGGGGCAAGCCCAGCCCCGCCAATCTGAAATGACTCCAGTTGGTATAAACATTTTAGAGCACCTGGGCCAACCATGCCAACCAGATTGAGCGTGAACAGATGTGAAGAGCACCGCGCGTTATCAACATTCCAGAGAAAGTCAAATGGGGCGCAAACTGAAAAGAGAACAGACAATCAGACAGTCACACGATCAGACAGTCAGACAGTCAGGCCGTCATACACGCCGACATTCAGATTGTCAGATACGGAACAATCACACAGGCAGACGAGACAGTAAATAAGTCTTACCCAAGGGCAGGCAAACAGTCAGACAGTCAGACAATCAGGTTTATCTAAGAACTCTTCAAGTGCGGAACACAACGGGACAGACCAACCACACAAACCGTCAAGTCTACATGTGAATGTCTGAACTTCTGAGTATGTGAGCATCCGAAAGTCTGAGTGCCGCCAAGTCTGAGTCTGAATGTCTGCGTGTCTGAAGATCTGTGCGTCTGATTGTGTGAGTGTCTGAGTGTCTGCCACGCTCGACCTCAATCCAAAATTCCTTTCATTCACCCTTCAATGTACACACTCCTGCAACTCCGACTCATCACACACATAGCTCTAAAATTTTGGTTGGGCGCACGTCCCTTTGCAGTGAGGAAAGGACGATGGATCGCAGCAACAGCAACTGCTCTTGGCGGGCTTTAGGTGCGACCTGAGCAAGACCGTAGAGCTAGTAGAGACATGTAGAGTAAAGGCCCGTTGTGATGCATCGCTGAGGTCACTGAGATGAGGGCCAGCGGTCTCTTGCTGTCAAAGCCCAGGCGAAGGAATCGGTTCAGCTCCTCCACCGACGTGGAGGTCCCGATCACCTGCTATGATCTCGATGACCCATGAACAAAGCCAACGTGCAACGCAGTAACTTTTGAGCTTTTTGTTCTTCTTCTTCTTCTTCGTCTTCTTCTTCTTCTTCCTACCCATCACCGTGCTGGCACGGAATGTACTGAGCTCGCCTCCTCTAAAGCCTGCACTGCCCGCGCAGCCTCAGTCAGCGATGCATGAAGGCTGTTTCTGGGTTGCGGTTTCTTGGTGCTTGTGGCAGTTGCTCTGGACATCCTCGTGACTGAACGCATGACTCAGGACAACACTGAAGACGGACCAGAAACAAGTGCGAGCCCCAAAAAGAAATCCACAACGGGGACGTCCCACAATGCAGTCTCCACCGTAGCTCCGCACACAATGAGCCCTCCAAGGGCCTTCCGTGAGATCTCCAACGATCTCCAACGATCTCCAACGATCTCCGAAGATCTCCGAGCTTCGAAAACAGAGTCATCGGAGCTTGTGCAGCACAAAAATGAGGGGCTTGACGAGGAGGCCGCAACCCCCCAGACGAAGTCTTTGGAACACTCCATGTGAAACTGCACAAGTGCTTCACGACCCGATGAACTTCCTCTGAGGCCGCTACAGTGTGCTTGTCTTCGAGTCGCTCGAGGTTCTGTAGAACCTTGCCACTCCAAAACTTCGAGCGTCAGAGCTAGACGCAAACACACTGCTCTTGCAGCATCCAGCACTGAGCATGGCAGCTAGGTGCTCTCTCTGTCGTTGCCGCAGCTTCTTCCTTAGAAAGGCATGCACAAAGCTAGAAAGGAAACATGCCAAGAGCCGGGGTGCTTGTTTCATAGCTCTTGGCTAGGCATGGCTAGGCTCTAGCATGCCGTGTCTCGGTGTTCATGCTAAGGCTTTTGTCATCTTTGACTTGCGGATCATGTACAACCTTGTGCTGACGACGAAGACCTCTGCGCCTGTGCTTTCAATCCAAGACCAGAGCGGCATAGCGGCATCTGATCTGCTAGCTGGTTGACCCTTCGTGAAGACTCAAGACGTGGCCAGGAGGCTGCAGATGTGTGCAGATGCTTGTGCGCTAATCATTTTTGGACATAGAAACGCGCTTTTGCCAGCGATGTGAATACACGATGCCCACGGCATCTTGCTTGCACGGGCATTCTGGAGCGTCAAGGATAGCCCTCTCTGCACAGGAGATCTCCCATGCACGTGATAGCACTTTGGTTGTGTTTGGGCTTTCTGCCAGCCTAGGACCAACTGAAGGTGAGCCCTGTTGGCCAGATCTGGGAGTGGAAGGGAACTTGTCTCAGAAACTCTGTCCATCATGAATGCTCTGCGCTTTGTGCAGTCTGAAGGTCATGTATGCACTGAAACATGTACAAGGAACGGACTTAGCTCAGATCACCCCGCCCGGCCAGAATACACATCAACTGCGTGGGCCCTTCTGGAGAGAATGACACGTCAGTGGGCAGAATACGTGGCAACATCACAGGGTAGTCTCTTATCTCGCTTCACTTAGTACCAGCAACCATCCGTCCACATTAGGGAATCACACTTCAGGCGGTGACGCTCTATCTTTGAAAGGATTGTTGGAGCAGTGCCAACAGGATCAGAGTCCTTCAAGCATCATGCTTTCATGCATTGAGAACGACGTGCAGAATTCACAAATGAGCTTCGGAATGCTTGGGGTATCTACATGTGCCTACACTGGCCTACATGTCGTTGACACGAAGGTTGCCAGCTGTCTCTGCCCTGAGTCAGCAGCACTTCCGTCGTGGTTCGTCCCGGCGAGACACCCTTCCTGCCACCTCGCGGATTTGGAGAATGGGACCAGATACGGGCAAACAGGCAGGCCTAACAGGCCTAAGGCCTTTAATAGCAGAAGGCCTCCAGGGGACTTCTGCCTTCGCTCGTGAAGAAACTGCCTGGCGCGGGTCAGCGGAAGAAACGAGACTTCTGCAAATGGATCGGACAGTAGATTCACTTAGGCTCTCGAAAATAAGTCTTACCGTTTCCCTCTAAGTTGCACATGCAATGTGTCGGCTGTGCGCATGCTCCGCCTCGGTGATTGATGCCCCACATGTCCAAAAATGAAAGAGCGTACAAAAACCGTGTGACCAACAAAGCCTCATCAGCAACCTCATCGGCTACCCTGAGCTCCCAGCTTTAAAAGGGTTTGGATGCCCTTTCACGGTCTCATCTCCTCGAATGATGTAACTAGGCTCACCTTCTGAGGGTTTGAGGCTTGCACTGCGAGGACTGTGAAAGTAACTGCCACTAAAGTCATAGGACTGCGTCTACGCTGTCTCGTGAGTCTACTGCTAGTTGGCTACTGCAGGCATATGCAAGCATGCAGGAAAGGAGGCACACGACATGCACCAGTCTGTCCTCCGGGCTCGAAGCTTTTTGCCAGCCTTGGCGCCTCATCAACAGTGGCAACAGACCCACTCACGTCACAACTGGCAGTCTACGCGGATTGAAGCATCCTAGCACCGTGTCGCCGTGTCGCATGAGCTCCGCTGAGGCGGCGACGCTTGTTGGCCGCAAGCCGCCGCGAGCAGCCGACCGTCGGCGCATACGCCAAGCCCTTGGTGCGAAGACACGAACTGAGAAAGCTCTGTAAGAGTTTTGCAGTGAAGAAATCCAATCGGCACCGCGCCAGCAGTTGCTTCTCTGGGCGTGCAACGGAGGCTGTGTAAGGAACCAAAATGCAGCAGGGCATGGGCAGCAGCGAAGCAGTGCATGCAAGAAGCGACATGAAAAGGTCGTGAAAGCACGGTAGTCCGCTTGATACGCCCGAAGAATTCTTGCACCACGTGTTCAGAGATGCGTTTGCATCTAGCCTGGCGTGTATCGTCGGAAGCTGTTGACTTTTTGTCATAGAGGCATCGGCCCAGCACTTGCCTGGCTGCTGCCCGGTGTGGTCCTGCTCCCCCCCTCACCCACCGGGCGGTCAGAGCGGACGGGCCCCATCTGGGGGGGGGACGGACGAGATCGGGTGGGGCCCAGGCAGGGCCACGTACATTCTGGGCGCAGACCCCCGCCCTCTTGCCACTCTCTAAAGTTTGCCACCCCATCGTCTCATGTTGTTTCCTTTTGTTTGTTCCTGTTGCACTTTTGAAAGTCTCTGCAACCTAAACCCTAAAACCTGAACCCCGAACCCTCTGGCGCCCCGAGCCCCGAGGCGGGTCGTGCAGAGTTGAAATTACAGATGCAGTGTGGCAGGTGAAGCAGCAGCTGCATTCATCTTGTCCTACACTGTACCCAACCGGAACCAAGACCCAGCTCGAGTGGCACTGTAAGACGCACCTGGTTCGCTGGGCAGATTCTACATGTGCATATGTATACACAATCCAACAACTTTATCAACTCTGGCGGGACATTTTTGATTGCATTGCGATCAATGCCTGCATGCAAAGAACCGATCAATCAATGTTCTCCTGCTTGAACTTGATGAAAAGCACTCCCCACGGGTGTAATGAGTGCGTTTTTGCCTCTCTTCCCTTATTTTTCAACTCAGAGAGAAGTTTGTTTAAGCTTTGCACTTCCACGAGTTGCGGTTGTAAAAGAAAAAGCAGGAGGAGCCGTTGTCCACTCTGGAATCGGCCATGGCAGCGTCGCTCAGCCACAACTTGCACCCTTCCCTGTTGGCAGAATTCACGACGGTCTCCCCGGAGTCTCCCAAACTTTGCGCACGAAAAGGCCACGAGGCCATCCTTCGAGCCGAAACCACTTTGAGCCTGCAGATAACTGTGGCAACTCGCTTCCCTCCGGATCCTCTCACCTGAAGCGCAGACTACCGTGCGACAAGGCTCGGCGCAAGAAGACGCCGTCTAGCTCGGTATCTCGCACAGAGTCCAGCGCCTAAGTCAATGAATAGGGAGGCAGGAAAGACCACTTTTTTGCCACATACAAGTTAGATAGCTAGGTGAAGTCTTCACCTCACACGACGAACCTTGAACCAATCGCTCAGGCTTTGCACATGAAGCAAGCTCTTGCCACTCTGGGTCACCCACCATCTTCCAGGCAGCCACATCTTGCATTGAGTGCTGGGCCGAAACCTAACAGGACAAGAACTGCCCACGATGCATACGAATGACATTAGCTATGTCCATGACATTCACTGCCGCTCCCAAGACCCGAGGAACAAGCATCGTAAAGCCAAAAGAGCGGCAACTTGTTGGGACCCTGGCCCGGCAGATCCGGCAGTACGATTCGCACTTCTCAGTGCAAGCTCTCAAGCTGCGCATCATGCTCTGCTTTCAATCAGCTTGTGCAAGCATGTGCAACCGTGCCTCGCGCCAGATGGCTGGATGGCGACCGTATTCTCGGACAATATATGCAAGATCATCTAGGAACCTGCCCCAAAGCCGTTCACAGATCTGCCCTCTGTAGCGATGTAATCGGCACTGACGAGGCCATGACGTTTGTGGGGACCGCCCCCCATACGGCTCGATATGGAACGATCTGCGCTGAGGACGAAAGAACAGGTCAGCAAAAGCAACCGCAACGACAACGCCAGACTTCAGAAAGCCAGCCAAGTTCCCTGCACAAACACGCCAGCTTGCTCTGCAGCCTGCACGAGAAATTTGACAACATAGCAGAGAACGTGTGTCAAGCAGTTGAGCCCTACTTGGTGCGCGATTTGAACGAGAGCGGGAGACGCCAGTTCATCCCCACACACCACATTATTCGAGCTAGCACCCCAGAGCAGTCTGTACGACTCCGATCTGCTCGCGAATTAAACCACGATGCCTGCAGCACCGATGGGATGAGTTCATCCGTGTTGGCACCTGCGCAGCAGTGCACACAAGTTGAGTCTCAAAACGCGACAAAAAATGGCTGAGCTGGGCATTCCGAAGCCATGACTCTCGCCCTTGACCCCCAATCAACGTTGGCATCATGTTTACAACAGCTGTCAGAGTATTGCGCTGCTCTTGCTGGCTCATGCTCATTTCACAGATGATGTAGGTCAATCGTCAGAGACATATCTCCCAATAACCTGGCAGAGGAGAGTGTGGCAATATCTTCCGCCTGAGTCCGCATCATCACGCTTGCCAGTCCAATCCTGAGTGATCTCAAGTGAATACTTGCTTGGCTGGAACGCATGAGCAAAGATGATGGTTTCGCCTTTCGTCCCCACCAGGAGCACATGGCAGAGTCCACACCTGCCTGCAGAGGCACTACAAAACAGATGCCCTGCGACAAAAAGGAACTCTTCAAGCCTTCGCCAGGTCCTCAAACTGGCTCGTGAGGATGGATTCGTCGCGTGAGCTGCACCAGGAAGGGTGATCCCAAACAGTTCTAGGCTTCAGGATGCTTCAATGCAAGATACACACCCGTTTCCCGATAGGGTGCCCCTCGAGTCAAGAAAATGAGTCGAAACCGGGTGGACCGAGTCGAAGACAAAAAACAAGAGGAAAACAGATTCGAGTACGTCCATCTTAAACCCGAATCCCGAAATAAACCTTAAAACCCGAAACCCTTTTTTGCAACTGGCCTTAAAATTGCTGTGGGCCACTTTTCTTGGCAAACCTGCGTATGACTTCGTATATTATGCGTATGCTTTGGGATCTGTTCATGGTTCTGCTCAACCAAACAGTCAAAACTCATTGTCGGTGGACTCCTGGTGGGCTCGAACGGTAACTCATCACGGCTCTTGCACATCTACAGGATCTTCCTGAACCAGCCCTCCATTCCTCATGCTGTGCAATCGATGGGACAACTTTCCCACAAACAAGGGTCACTCGTCGGACCAAGGTGTTCGCTAAGGAAAGAAGGTGCGAAGTTTGGGAACACCTGGTACCCGAATTTGGCGCAGCTCCATATGTCCAATGTGTTTTCTAACTGGGGGGCTGCTTTCGACTTGGGTCTTCGACTCAGGCCTGGTCAGGATCACTTTGAGCCATCTCAAAAGTCCCCCCAAACCTGCCTGTATGGACCCCTTTCAGGATAGAAGGTGGCATGCGGCCTTGGAAGAGATTGAAAGAGAATGAGCTGGCATATCTGGCAAACAACGTAAACTCACAGTCCGTCACTCAATCCCTCATTTAGCAAGCTGATGCTGGGTCTCGGGCTCATCTGGAGGACTCCAATTGAACTTATCATACTTTGCATCCACCTCCCATCATGATCAATGTGGAACACCACTGCTCTAAAATATGTCGTGCTTGTACCTCCTTGTCCCAATGGGGCAGCACCTGGCTGGCTTTGACATGTATCAGCAAGCCAAGACGTCATGCATTGGATGTCAGATGGTTGTTAAGCCTTGTGATCCCAGTGCAACCACTTGCCGTCTACCTCAAGCATTTTTCATTGTCGGTCACTGCTGTACGCAGCTTGCATTCACATGCAGCTATCGCCATGGAGCACCCTGACTTCATGGGCTAAGGCGATGACCTCTGGAGTGCCATACCTGAGGATGTCTCATACTGCGGGCTACGAGAGTCCGTATTTGCAGAGGCCCTTGCCAAAGGTAGAAAGCAGCATGGACTGCCGGAGCACTCCCATCAGGCCTTCGCAGGGGCGTCTAGATTCTTCAAGGTAACATCACCCTTAACTGACCCATGCTCGGCAAAATGTCCTTGTGCAGCCTGGCACCGGCTCAAGGGTCGTACTTGCCTCGGGGCTTCAAGGGTTCTCAAGCTTCTCTTGCAGATGTCCCCTGCCTCATCCGAAACGTCTCCGTTCGCAGAGTCCTCGGACCTGACAAACCTCAGGAACTCATCACAGCAGAACACAAGATGTCAACCAAGTCCGCCAGCGACAGCAACAGATCAGGTAGCCAATACACACGTGCCGGCCCTGCACCGCTAGCTTCGAGCAGACACCAAAGGTCGCAGATAACGTGGTACGACCAACAACTGATTCCGATGTTTCTTGTTTTTCCTCTGGTATTCGCAGCTCTCTGTACGCAAGCCGCTGGGGGCTCACTGCCCCAGTGCGGCGAAAACGCCGAGCTACTCATGCGATGAGTATCTGGTTGCCAAAGAGCAGGTGAAACAGGGGCAGCTGAGTGCCAAAGACTAGACAACTCGTTCTCTGCACTGCGACCTTACACTGACACAAGCACACAACTAATCCCGTCAACTTTCTGTTGAGCATAGGCATAGACAATCGACGCTCTTCACTTCCACACGTAAAACCACCTTGAAAATGCATTCTTGCTTAAATCTCCACGGCAGCTCACCTGCAGCTTCTACCTCAACAGCTCAGAATCACGAGGCAGGAGCTGCACCAAGGATCCGTGATCTATCCTCTGCTGAGTCGCTGCAGATGCCGCGCCAGCAACGCTGCTGTGATTGCAAGACCTGTGTCGCTGAAAGCCAGCGCACGTGTGCAACAGCTCAAGCATTCTCTCAGACGTCGACAGCTCGCCACAATGATAGCAGGTGTCACGCTGCAAGCTGTCGAAGACCTGCAAACAAAACACAGAAAACAGGAGGGAGTTCGCCTGACAAACATTCGCGACGTCAGGACGATTCAGCTTTGAGGGTACCTCATACTTTTTGTCAGCCGTGCTGCTATCCAGCAGCATTTCTTCCAAAGCTTATGCTAGATAGTCATCTCCGATGTCAGGAACCGCGGTCAACAGACACACCAACTGCATTCCAAGCCCCTTCCTGTCATGGCTCCGAAGCGCCGACAGCAGCACCGCCATCCTCGCTGGATTCAGAAGCTGCCTGGCGTCCTGCCAAAGATGGCAAGAATGCGCACGGCTGACAGGATTGCCGCCGAAGGGTCATTCAGCAGCGATTCAGGGTAAGGGGCTTGTAGGCCGCCCCTTACTGTTGGAGCACCTCTCATCGAACGGAGAACAACGCGCTTGCTACGTGTGCAATATGATAGGCCCACAAAGATGCACACAGTGTACATGATGCGCTAGATTGTGCCACTGGCTGAAAGTGCATCCACCGTCATCCTAAACTCGCGGTTCGTGCATCGACCGAGAGAGGAATCCGACAACGGAGGGCTCAGTGCGTGCTGGTCGGTTCCAATACTGCCCACTACGGCAGCTCGTTTGCGCACAGCCCTCCAAACCCAAAATGTCACAAGACTGATGGCTCCCCGGAAAATTTGACTTATGAACGCTCCGTTGCCCTGTTCGCGCTGTTCACGGTGTTCGCGGTGTTCGCGCTGTTCGCGCCGTTCGCGCCGTTCGCGCTGTTCGCGCTGTTCGCGCTGTTCGCGCTGTTGGCAGTGTTCGCCGTGTTCGCGCTGTTGGCCGTGTTCGCGCTGTTCGCACTGTTCGCGCTGTCGCGCTGTTCGCGCTGTTCGCGCTGTTCGCGCTGTTCGCGCTGTTCGCGCTGTTCGCGCTGTTCGCGCTGTTCGCGCTGTTCGCGCTGTTCGCGCTGTTCGCGCTGTTCGCGCTGTTCGCGCTGTTCGCGCTGTTCGCGCTGTTCGCGGGGCGCTGTGGTGCTGTTCGTGGTGTTCGCGGTGTTCCCGCTGTTCGCGGTGTTCGCGGTGTTCGCGGTGTTCGCGGTGTTCGCGCTGTTCGCGCCGTTCGCGCTGTTCGCGCTGTTCGCGCTGTTCGCGCTGTTCGCGCTGTTGGCCCGTGTTCGCTGTGTTCGCGCTGTTGGCCGTGTTCGCGCTGTTCGCACTGTTCGCGCTGTTCCGCTGTTCGCGCTGTTCGCGCTGTTCGCGCTGTTCGTGCTGTTCGCGCTGTTCGCGCTGTTCGCGCTGTTCGCGCTGTTCGCGCTGTTCGCGGGGCGCTATGGTGTTCATGAGTGGAAAATTTCGGAACATGTGGCGGGTTCCCGCGCCGCACCCCTTGGGACTGAAGCTGGGCAGTCGCGGCTAGTGGACACGCACTCTTGTAATGGCCGGGGCCCTGCGGCCCTACATGATTGCGCCATCGCTTTGTGAAGGCTCAATGGGCACAGATGTGTACGCTCGTGCAACCCATATGTTCATGCCTTGAACTACTGCTTGATGGAAGTCCTTGGGATGGGAAGCAGCGAAAGCGGCTCCGGCCACCAGGAGCTTTGACAAGAGCTGTCGCTTGTTGGCATCCTCAGGCAAGGAATGCTCTTGGCTTGCCTCTTGCGAAGCCAAAGGAACAGAGGAACAAAAGAAACAAAGGGGAAACGAACTGAACGCAACCGGGGCTCGTCCAAAAGCGAGAAATACAAAGCACCGAAGCAACCAGTCCTCGGTGGACATCACTTGGACATGCCTGCAGGTCCGCTCTGGCTCTGGCAGGCTCTCACTGGCTCAACCTCTAGCTCATGATTTTGCTTGCAGAAGCGTCTTCATCAAGAGAGTGAATTCACGTGGAAGCTGTACCTGAGAATGCAATTGGAGAGTTCCTGAAATGAGTCGTCCCACAGCCATTCAAGAATTCCACGCTTGCTCCAACGATGCAGGTCACCCCATGTCGGCAAAGAACCCGCTGTAGCCGCAAGAGCTCTATGTGTAGCTCGGGGCTCATTGGATCACCTCCTGCAGGAATGGCAGCCACCCCTGCAACTACTCGGTGCCGTTGCATTCGCTCAGGCTTGCAAGGCGTCACGGCGTCCTCTGAAAGGGTTAAGAAGCTGAAGCTGCTTTAGCACAGGCTTCATGTCCTTTCCGGGATTACGGCTGGCAAAGCTCGTGTTCATGAGAATTCCGCACAAAGCCAAGCTTCAGTAGCGAGGGCATCAACATCCAAGTCCTGTTCAGACATTTCTATCGGTCCGAAGCGGTCCGATGGTTATGGAATTCAAGAGGCTTGCTTCCAAAAGGGCAACTCTTCCAAGAAAGAATGCCACGACAGCACACATGGGCCGCCCCAAATGTTGAAAGCGCGAGCCTCCTCGCGGCCAAGCTCCGGGATTCGCTGCAAGGCGTGCGCGAAGCCCTGCACCCAGCGCAGCAATCGCTGCTCTTTTCACATTTGCCACAAGCCACTCGGCCTCGCAGAACTGGCGTACATCCGGCCTAGCAGGTGCTCGCTTTGTCAACTTGGAGGAGAAGCAACAACGCACAACAACACCACAAAAAGGCCTTCCTCCAGCAAATGCCTCAGAATCAAACCGAGTATACGAGGCCATCACTCAAGCAAGGTCGCTGAATAAATTTTCCGAGTTGCTGAGGCTTGCATCAGCAGTGTGCCTCGCAGCGGTGCAGGAAGTCGGCCGCAGCAGCCGAAATCAATGAAGGCCTTCCATTGCACTCACAAATACCTCTCAAACCCAGACCTGCTTTGTTCATCTTCGTTCGTTGCGAAATGCTGCGCATCCTCTCGGCTCCCGGCCACCCGACATTCTCCGCCAGGCCCTATCCAGCACCGTACAACCAGGCTGTGCACTGAGGGACAAAAACCATTGGCATCTCGAGCTACAGAAGCAGTCCTCTGACCGCAATCATGTTGCCGGTGTGCAGGTCAGCCTTTACAATTTTTGCTATAGCACGGGTGTGAACGGCACTCTTTACAGCCTCGCATTCTGTCAATATCTGTCGTGTCAATATCAATTTGGTCTCTCTGCCGGTGCTTTGGCTCATGCTTTGAAGCCGACTGTGAACAGCTCTGAATTGTGGAGTGCTCTGGAGTGCTACTGCTGCTACTGAAAGACTAGACAAACGATTCAGCTACGGCACGCCTCTACGGCACGCCGCTGGCTGAGCCCTGCCTCTCTGAACCCCGACAAAGGCTCAGTTTTCTGAAGCTCGGTAACGCCAAAGCCGGACGTGCTCAGGTTGTACTCTGGCCACCTCTGGCCTGCAAACCCCCAAAGCAGGCTCGGCGACTTCGTAGATGGCGCCTGTGCCCTCGCAGTGGATGAGCTCCCTTCTCGGTTCATGCCAAAGAAGCCTCGTGACCGCTCAGAGGCCCGCGCAAGACCTCGAAAACCGTGCAGGTGCATCGCGCCGCACCACATCGCTGACACAGCGACTAGGACCAGGAGGGCGGAAGCAAAAAGGCTGCGGGGCGACTGAAGTCATGCTACCGGTGCACAGCTGTAATTCGCAGATGTGCAAGACTCTGCAAGACAAATGATGACAAAGATGTACAACCCCATGGAGAGGCGAGTTGCATGGAAGAGAGCCGATCCGTCGATTACAGACACCGCCGCCACGCTCAGCGCAGATGTCAGTGCCGCTTGCCAGTCGCCACAATCCTCGCTCGCGTGCCGTGTCAAGATGTGTCAAGCAACTTGGTTGTCAACGGGTGGCTTCTTGCTGGGGCGCGTGTAAGTCTCGGGCACTCCGCCGAGAACCTCCCTCATAGAGCTCGGAGAAGGGCAGACCATCAATCCGCTCCATGGTCAGGATGCGAGACTGAGTCAGGCAGCAAAGCTGAACTCAGCTTGCAGGATTTTTTGCACGGGTGACGCGACATGCACTGGAAAGGCTGAGGGTTGCTAAGCGAACAGTAAAGAATCATTGAATCATTGCCTGATACTGGCTGACACCACCCCTCCGGATGCAAATATTTCGGTCCGTCTAAATCGGTCTCAAAGTCAAGCAGCCGAGGAAGCGTCTTCGTAGGTCTTCGGGACACGCACCGCGTCGGCAAGACGAGCTCTGCGAAGCGTGGCCTTGCACACTCTTCTGCACAATCTTTGCACAATCTTTGCACTTAAGTAGGCTCCCTATATGGTCCCTGTTCACATCGCAGATATAGCAGCAAGGTCTAAACATTGCAACGCAGAGCTGCTGATGTTTCCAGCCACCGGCTAAAGTCCTGCGCGCAACACATGCGGAAGCTCTGGAAGTTTGCGATCTGTTTGTGAGCTGTTTGTGAGGGAGTGCAGTGCCTCGATGTTCTGTCGTTCCACGGCAAGGTCACACTCGGCCATCACCGCTCGTCTCAGCTCCTCTCCACCATCCGGCAGTCCAGGACATCTGCAAACATGAGACACATGCATAGAAATGCTCAAAGCATCTGCGTCCTCTACACATCCTTCCAGCGAGGCGCTCACCAGCTGAAGGACCACCTCCTTTCTGCAGAGTCTCTACTGGTTGGATCTGAAGCCGGCACCCTCGACCCATTTCAAAACTTTGCCTTGTTGGTGGATGTCTCACCTTTTCCTTATCTCATTTGCGACTGTCCACGCTCTCTATCATGATGGGAGTTCCTTTCTGCGACCATCCCTAAAGACTCCCCACGACTCGCTACGCCGCTACGCCGAAGTACAAAAACACGAACAATCTGCTTCACTCCGTGCCAACTTTCGGCAGACGTGTCTGATTTCAGGGCCCGTCCTCCCCGAGGATCAAATCTGCCAGACGTGCAGCCAACTGGACACATGCGAAGTCCACGGCCAGTCGTTCCCGGACACGTGGACGAACGACTTTCACTACCTCAGAGCCCACGTGTACGTCCCCCCCTGAACTCGAAGTGAGCTGGCAGATTCAAGTGTCGATACTCACGTCGGCATCACACAGGAAATCTCCTGAGCACCACGCACACCTCTCCCCGGAGCGCAATCTGGCAGCATGCACCTATGAGCAACTGCTAGCAGTGCAAGCAGGCATCCTCTTTCCTTGTCGTACCTTACGGATGTGTCCAGCAAACTGTGTGCACTGGCCCACTGGCCTGAGCAATGGATGCTGCAGCCATTGGCTCCACTTCAAAGTCCTCAAAGAGATCTCCAATCTTGAGGCCCAAGTCCTTGACTGATGGTACGCACGAGTCATTTGGTCATTTGGCCCAACGCATGGGCCACAGCAGCAGCAAAGCAGCGGCAAATACCCGGGGCGAGGATCCTCCTTCAGAATCTGCTCGATGTCCTTCAATGGAGCCGGAGGTGTCACAGCCTGGTGCAAAAGAGCAGTCTCGATATTTCAAGCACTGTGGAAAGAAAGCATGAGAGAACATAAAAAACGCCCTTCGGAGAGCTTCGGAGGGAACCGACGCTGAGTGCATGACCTGGGCTAGGCTGCCTCGGCTTCCCGCTAAACCCCCCAAGGCAGGCCTCCTAAAGCAGGACCCGGGCATCATTCTGAACAAAGCGTATCCTTCCCTACTCTTTCGTAGTCTTGGCTTTTCAAGCGTAACAATCTTCCATCTTGAGTTCTCAGGTGTTTAGGCACGACGATCTTGGAACTTGGATTCTGGGATCTTGAGATTGTTGATCTTGAGTTCTTGGGCCTAAGGGTCTGGAATCTTTCTTGGAACTGGAATCGGGGTTATGAAGCTGGGGGGGAATAATACGCCCCATACTATACAAACGCGTTGCCAATTTCAGGGGACTAATATCTTCACTAAGCTATGATGTCGAACAAGTCATTGGGTGGTCTCTTCGTCAAATGAACAGATACATCACTCACCAAAGGCTACCTCCTAAGGTGTCACTTGGCAAGCATGCCAAGCTACCAGGAGTAGCACTTCTGCTAAGTGAGCTACCCGGCTTCCAAGCACAAGGTTTCTGCCGACAATTGCAGAAGACTTGCAGATATTCGCAATGCAAGTATGTGCAGCTGCACGAAACAGCAAAAAAAACAGCGCAAAAGAATGCTCTGCGGATGCTACGGATGCTGCCGCGGCACCACGGCAAGCACGCACCAGCGGTTCCGGGAAGAGCGCCGGGCTGTGCGCGACCACCTGGTAGAGCACCCGATGCAAGTGAAAAAATGCAAAGGGGACCTCCGGCTTTCAATACAGTTTCAGGAGAACACCAGCGCGTTCTATTCACAAAACTGTGAAAGGTCGGGCCTGGGCCATTTTCACGAAGCCGCCTCCGAAGGGTAACTTGGAAAAATCAGATGACAAAAACGACATCTGACAAAAACTCTGCAGGAAGCCCCGAACCCACAATACTCTACAACATCCGACCAACATCCGACAGAGTCCGAACTGGCCTCCCATCAGATCAAGAGCTTTGTGCGTCGCGCAGGCTGCTGCTTTCTTGGGGTCGTGTACAACTTCGCGCATGCCTCAAAGAAGCGATAAAGAAAAGAAGGTCAGGCGGCCGTGATTCCCATAACTTGCTAAGACTTGCAGACCAAGGACGGACACTGAGCAGCGCCCGCGAGAGATCGGCAGTTCTTCCGAGCAGCACTGGCCTTTTCATATACCGATGACTCAAAGAAAAACATCTCTGCCGTCATCACTGCCGTCTCAACGTACTCAACCACGCTGAGAGGCGGCAGGTCTGCAACGGCAAATCTGGCGGCATCTGCGAGGAGCCTTGCTGCGAATGTCATGGTAACTGTCCGTATGGCTTATGGCAGGTTGGAGTCTGAAATCAGCTAGGAGGCCATGCTGCTTCCTGGGAAGGGTGCACGGGACACAAGTGTGCAGCACATGCCGAGAGCATGGCACGTCCAAAGCGTGCCTTCCCGACAAGCCGCCCAGGCACGCCCGAGGCCCAGCCGAAAATCCTAGAGCAATTCTGAACCATGACATGACATGGGGCGGACAGCAATTCCAAAACATTCCCCCCGCCTTCTCGCCGCCTCAGTGCCATCGTGCAATGCATCGCAGGCATCACGGAATCGACTCGGGGAAGCCTCGGGGGCGGCAGCCGTCAAGCACCGTTAAGGCCCAATACTGCGCAGCACCATCTACCGCTATCTGCCGATTGGGAAGATGCAGCACTTTCCAATGCCACTGAAGTTTGATGATGCTCGCTCTTCAGCTACTCTTTAATGGTGGAAGCTCAGGTGGACGTGGCACATAGGGCAAGGCCGCAAGGCCGATGACAGAATAATCAAAAAGCTCACGCACGGGTTCAATTCAAAGCGTGAAAGAAGTGAAAGCAGCTGCAAAAGGAAGAGTTTGACAAAGGCATTCCGAGGAAGCATCCGGATCTGTCGGCCTCGGAAATCAGAGCGGTCAACAAGACCTGATAGTTCGCCACATGCATGTCTCAGCCAGCGGCACTACCGTCACCATGGCACGATGCAGCACAAGTGCAAGCGGTGTTTTGCTGGGTGTCAAGCCGGGGGTTTCGGCCAAATGTGGTCTTTGAGCTGACTTCGGATAGCGTGCTAGGCATGGCTTGCATGCTGCACACAAAACACAGAAATGCCTTGTGACCGTTTTGTGGCTTCGCATCGTTGTGCCGTCTGGGATGTTGCGGGATAACAAAAGCATCTGGCAGCTCATATCGATGAGACACAGCTTAAGCATTCGTTTCCAATCACGCAGTACTAGAGTTCAGCTGACATTCTGAAACAACTTCTCAAGCTGGGGCAGGCACAAACAAAGTGAGCACCTCAGCTACCCCTCGATTTGTCAATGCTTGATATTCGAATCACGCCCATGGCATGTCGCTGACATGACCCAGCAAGACAATGGAAACCGCTGGAAACCCCAGAGCATTGTGAATGCCACAGGCGCAGCCAAGCCAGCGCCCGGCATGATATCCTACACATGGCCTGGTCAACTACGAGATCAGTGTATTGGCATTTCGCCACGTGGCCTAAACAAGATCGACACCCTCGAAAGGCAGTAGCGACAATGTCCAAGATGTTACACAACTTCGATTCTTACCATCCAAGCCATGGTCAGAATCAAGACACCTTGAGCAAATAAAGACGCTGCCACCACGTCTGACGATTTTCTGGCTGGAAAACAGAAGTAACTGAACAATCCGAGGCGTAAACCCGATACAAAAAAAGACCTGAAGCATTCAAAATCGAGACAGAAAAAAAACAAGTCGTGATTCGTAGGCCTGCAGCAAGCTGTTTGGATTATCAGGCCCGAAAACAAACAATCTAGAGCCTGAGTTCCTTCAACTTGGTGAAAACTTTTTCCTACTGTTCCTCTGTAGGACAACACTTCGCTCAGGTAAAGGAGTTCTCGTAGAAGCTCACTCTGTGCGGAAAAGGGTGAAACCATTCTGCATATTGTCCCGGGCTTGCCATTGCCACAAGGACGGTACAATCTCGCATGCACTGCTGCATTATTGAACGTTGAACATCCGCGCATGTAGTTCTGTAGTATCTACTTCTATAAGGAGTGTGCATCTACTGGCTGTGTTTGCACTAGCTCTTGCATGTCCTCTGCCATAGGAACGATATTCACCATTCCCCATTCATAAAATCGCCTTGTAAGTTCCTCGTCATTCACATGAATCTGACTTGCTGGTATTGCGCTGCTTCCAGGCATTCTACTAACAAAAGGGCTCGGACCAACTTTTCCTGTTCCACGTCTGATTCAAAATTTCCCCGCGAGCGCCACGCTAGCTAGCACAACTGCGCCAAGAATGTCGCAAAACAAGATTTTTGTACTTTTGTTTTGTAAGTGTACTTAAAAGCTCCTGAGTTAAGTTCTTGGTTTCAATAATTGTAAAGGCTTCGGACTTTTGTCTCGAATCTAAGGCTCCAAATTTGTTGCTGTCAACTCCAAAATGGAGCACTACGAGGCCATCACACACTGCCAGATGTGCCCATCGACAAGAAGTACGTGATGTTGAGCTTACACTTCTACTGTGAGTAGTTTGAACATCCACAACGTGCCTTTGCAAGGCTGTCCCTTGTCAGATGCGGTCTCATCATGCGCGGCAATCCAACCACAGGCAGGGCGCCTTGCCCTCGTCGGTTTTGTGCCCTCATAGCCCAGCAGTAAGCCCCTTTAAAATCCCGAAATATCTCCAACGCAAAAAAAATCGGCAATGTGTTGTGCCGTCAGAAAGCCAGACCAAGAATGGACTCCAGCAGGTGTCCAAGCTTTTTTTTTTTGGACTGACGCCTCTTTACTACATCAGTAGCGCAGTAGGCCGATCTTGTTGGGCTCGACATAACAGGTGAAACGAAGTCAGTGCGCTCAAACCACCAAACACACCACGCAACCACCCAAGAACCAAAGAAAAAGAAGAAACAAAGCAAGCAAAGGCGCAGAACTACTAGGTAACCCCACGCACTCAGTACTCGAAGTCGTCGTTGAAGTCCCGGTGCAATCATACAGCACAGAGCATGCGGGGAATCGCAAATTGCGACACTGCCAGATTCACAAAACCACCATCATGTAGCTACTGGTGCGACATCATTCGAATCGAACCGAGGTCATCACTCGATGGTCAGGATCCCGTACCCATCGTCAAGGACAGATACCAGACCCGCAGTGGCAAAGGGATGTTACAGGTCAGACTCCCCAAGGAGAGGAAAGACGTGCGTATGCCCCATGGTGGTCAGCCAGTGGGGACTTAACAGCAAGAACTATCAAGGCAAGACCGGCCCAGGGCACTCCATGGTGGTCAGCCAGTGGAGCAGCCCCGAGCGAAAGGTCCTCCGCTCACCCTGGCTTGCAGCTGCGCCCACCTGGATAGATGTCCGCGCACAAGCAAAGTCTCATCAGACGGCCAGAGGGGAGGCAACCTTTCCTTGCGTGAGTAGCTACAGCTACCGATTCCACCGTGAGCGTCATCAGCACGTTGCCAAACCCGTAAAACCACAGAGTTTAAAGTGGCGACCGAAGACCCCCAGTCAAGACATCGCACACAAGGCCACACAGCTTTTGCGTTGGCCTGCGCATCAGTCTGCATCAGGTCCCTCCAAACCCCAACCCACGAGGTACGTCGGTAAGGAGATGGGAGGGCTCACATCACGTTTGCGTGCCGAAGCGCAAGGATCTCCATGGTAAAGCTGCTTTGATCCAATCAGAGCCATCAGGTTACAGCCAAGCAAGCGGCGAAACAACTGTGCCGCCGCAGGCCAAGCACAGACGAGGATGACCCTCTTGAAGGCCAGGTTAGTGCACAGGTGCTCAATGGCTCCCTGCCATGGCAGTGGGTGTATATTCTCCACATAGAAGTGCCCACAGTCTGGAAGAAGGCACCGCAGTATTGGTCTTTCCAGAGTCGGCACTCAGCCGAGATATTACAGAAGGGCGGGTCACATTGCCGTGACAGCACGTGAATCACGTGTCGTCTCGTCCAGCGATGAGCAGCGGGGCAACCAGGGTTGGCGGTTGTTGGGTCTCAAGGCCGAAGGGTTCACGTAAGGCCATAGCACAGAAATGGAGCAACCGACCCGGCTGACGGGGGCAGAGGAGAGGAAGACTGGGCAGTCTTACCTTGGACATAACACGATGAACAATCAAGGCCAGACCAGCCCAGAGTACTCCATGGAGGTCAGCCAGTGGAGCAGCCCCGAGCGAGAGGCTCTCCGCTCCATTAGGCTCACCGCAGCGCCCACCCAGAAGGGTGTCCCCGTCCCGACAAGTTGCATCAACCAGCCAGAAGGGAGGTCAATGCGCATCAGTAGCGACCGATTCCACTGGGGAAAACACCAGTCCTTGCACATAGCGGAGCAGTGGACCTCAGGGTTTGCCAATGTTGCACGAATCCTTCCGTCCGCAAGGCAAGAGGAGACGGCAGGGTCAACAACAAGGGCCGAGGGCTCAAGCGCCTCGAAGTTGTACACCTCACCACATTCGCCGAGGCAGGTTGGGGTGCCATGGAAACTTCCTATTACAAGCGTCCGTGCGCCCCATGGTGGTCAGCCACTGGGACTTACAAGTGAGCACTGCAGACCAGCCCAGGGCTCCCCATGGTGGTCAGCCAGTGGGGCAGCCGCGAGCCGCAGCCAAGAGCAGCAGGCTCCCTGGAGGCTCCCAGGACGGAAGCCATTGAGTAGCGACAGCTACCGATTCAGATAATACAGTCCAGTGGTCCCACCCATGCAATCAGGTGGGTGTGAGGGATCACGGCCAAGGGCCTTCCCAGTCAGGGCGTCGTGGGCGGTAGCCTGCAGAGACAGTATGGGCCCGTCTTCCTGACTTTTTGGCAACCGGCTTAGTACCTTCAGCCGCTTTCAAATCCTCGTCACTGGCGGCATCACGAGGCCTGACGCATACTTGTGGCAACTCCTCCTCGCTAACCCCCCACTCAGGGATGCCAGTTGGGATGGAGCCCCCTATGTGCCGTTTCATTGAGGCTTGGGCTGCATGCCACATCGTCCGGATGGCGTCCTGTATTTGCAGCGAGGGCCGAGGGCTCGGGCTCCTTGGGAGTGCCATGGCAGTACAGCTTGAACCAGAAGCTGTTGAGTTGCTGCTTAGTTGGATGCTTGGATCTTGCGAGCCCCTTGAGGGCAGCCCAATGAGCCGTGGCAGCATCATACCACGCATTCCGGGAACGTTGGGGTCCATGCTTAGTAGGTGTTGTGCTGAGCCCTTTCCAATGCTCATCGTCAATGACCGGCAGCCGAAAAGGAGCAGCAACATCAACTTCTCGCAAGGCCGCAAGGTCAGTAGTTCGCAGTTCAGAGAAACGCCAATCGTGCACCTGCGCCTCTGGTTCGTCCGCTTCCCCTGCCAGGTCCTCCATCGATGCGGGAGACACAGGTTCCGTGCCGGAAGAGACACTGTACACATCCGGCGAGGTTTGGACCTCGTTCACACCCGTGTTTTCGCCACGGGGCGAGGCAAGTAGGCTTTCCAAGGGCAGCACACGCCGGAGGAACACAGCCATCCGTGCAGTAGTGTCGGGCCATTCCAGGTTAAAGACGGACCAAAAGTGCTCAATGTTCTGATTGGCCACCGAGGCTGCTAGGGCGAGCCTGATGGCCTCAAGAAAATGGGCAGGGGGCAACTCCGGCTTAAACTCTTGGTATTGGCGCTGCCCAAGCGTTTGTGAGCCCTGCAGCGAAATTCCAAGGAACGCATTCAGGCTAGGCTGCTGTGCGAGCCTGGCTGCCTCCATATCCGTGTGTTTGGCGGCCTCCGCCCATGCCTGCAAGGCCTCCTGGGACACCTGCCCACTGACTTGAGGGAGTCCGCTACTCAGGTCCACCGCATACTTGGTTGTAGGGCATGTGGGCAGCCGATAAGCGCAGCCGGCAAGGAAAGCCACCATGGCCGCTAGCGGCACATTGACCTGGAGGTCAGTAATCCTGTGGTCGGATTCGGGAAAGCCCACAACAATGGGCAGTCCGGCAGCGCGCTCCAGG